TTCATTTGGGTCATAAGACAAGCCGAAGCCACCAAGAACGAACTACAAAAGTGGCTGTCAGAATCCGGGTTTGAAGAGAGGACCAAAGAAAGAGGGCTGGTGGTCCGTGGCTGGGCTCCGCAAGTGCTGATATTATCACATCCGGCAGCAGGAGCCTTTGTCACGCACTGCGGCTGGAACTCGACCATCGAAGGGATCACGGCGGGAGTGCCGATGGTGGCGTGGCCGCTGTTCGGGGACCAGATATTCAACGAAAGGTTGATCGTTCAGCTGCTGAAGGTTGGGGTCAGCGTGGGGGTGGAGAAGAGTGTTGTGTGGGGAGGTGAGGAGGAAGTCGGAGTTCAAGTGAAAATGGAAGCCATTAGAGATGCAATTCAGAAGGTCATGGACGGAGAGGGAAACAAGGAGATGAGAAGAAGGGTGAGGGATTTAGCTGAAAGAGCAAAGGACGCCATGGAAGAAGGAGGCTCTTCTAATCTCAATTTGAAGCTCTTGATTGAAGATATTACGTATCAGGCAGAGGTTCGGGAGGCCCACAAGTAGTCATTTATAAAATACTCAATAAGCAATCTACTTGTAAGCTCTCGTCAGACTTAATTTTTACAATGATTTCTTGAGCTATGTGCTCCTATCCTAACATTGGCGTTAGCCACTGCCATGGCTTATTGTCTATGCTAGCCTTATACGACTTATGCATACCTAAACCCTATACACTCCTATTTTAGGGTAGATAACCAAATCCCTCGGGCCATAATGTAGGGAGGTTGTACTTAACTTTTTGTTTACGTTTTTCAAAGTCTATCCTTAATTCAGTGCTATTGGCACGTGAGTCAACTTGCCCTATAACAAGTCCAAAGGTAAGTCTCGTGTGTTTGAAGTAATCTGTGCACTATACGCAAATGAGTACTTTGACCACCTGCATCCTATATGAGTTATCTACTAGGTGCAACCTAGTAGCATATGTACCCTCTACGACACTTGGCATCCCTTGTGGGTGACAACTAACCCATACGTATCAAATATATCTTTAACTCTACTGAGAGTCTACGATTAGGGTTGTGCCCCAACTATGCCTACTTGATTGCCTCGTGACACAAAAATACCTATGGGACCTAAGGTGGATTCAAAGACCAAGGAAATGTGCAATAACTAGTAACTGCTCATGTTCATGCATATTCTCATCGTATCTCCATAGGGCACATAACATATATATAATATGATATTCGAGCATACAAGAGTAATTAGTTCCTATAACATTCTACTATGCATAACACACATATATAAAAATGTCCAACATGCTCAATCAATAAATTTATGAATATACGAAACATGCAAGCAAACAGAAGCTTTAAACATAATATCGCACTAGACTAGAAAATGAACACGTTTCTAGATTTAATTATTACAACTTAATTAATTAGTTCTGTGGTCGTATTTTTTAATAAATATCTAATTTATTGTCTTAATCTACCCCAACAAGTATTACTTAAAAATAATTAATGTGATTACGTACTCATGGTAGACTTTGGAAGATGGGTTCAGGTCTTGAAGAATTTCTAAAAGTCCTAAATTGAGGGAAAAATTAAAATTATTAAAATAAGGGCGAAATTCTTATTAAAATGATATAAATTGGGCAAAATAAGGAATATCGGTTCGAGTCGGTCGAGTTGGGCAGCCGACCGGTTCAGGTTACCTCTAATGAACCGGGTCGAATTTGGGCAGGCGGTTTGAGTGGGCGGGTCGGGTCGGGTCGGGTGTCTCCTTCTTTTCGTCCGCGGTGCAGGGGACGCCGTCATTCTCCTCGGTTCTTCCTTTCCTTCCCGTTCTCTGTCTTTGTGCATTTGCAGAGAACCCATCGTTCCTCTGTTTTTTTTCTTCTCTTCTCCAGTTCCGACCACCACGGCGCCTCCTCAGTTCACAAAGTGTCGAAACTTCGCCGGCGCAAACTGTGCGTATCGTTGCTGGTTGGTTGCGGGTTTCTCTGAGTGCGAATCGATTGTTAGCTTCCTCCATTGGCGACGCCTTTCCACGAGTAGGGTTCTCGGTCTCTCTGGGTTTTGTTCTCTGTTCAAACCATATAAGAGTGTGAGAGATACATTTGTAAACACTAGTTTGTAATGATTGGCTACCGCTAGTAGATGCAAGGAAACTTCTCATCGATCGATTCTACTTTCGCTTCCACTGCAACAATTAGGTATCATCAGAACATTTCGAACGTTACATTTAAGAGCATAGCATTGGTTGTGGCATTAGGATGCAACCAATGGTATTAGGGGTATTAGAGTTGGAAGGTTGGTGGGAGGTCGGTGGGATTGCACGAACCATTTGCGCCCCCAAATCCTCTGGAATCTGGCCTCTGTTCCTCTTTCCTGACAGGCGGCCATCGCCACTGTACTCTGTTTTTCTTCCTTTATTTATCTATTATATTGAAGCTATAAAATGAGGTGTTTAGCTCATGCTACACACCTCCCACCACAATAATACAAAAACACAATCACCAAAAAAAAAGAAATGCGGTTTAAATGTTTTTGTCTGTTCTTCCTCTAAAGTCAAAACATGTGGTCTCTACCCAAACACAACACATGCAGTAAAGAGATAAAACACAGAAAGAAAGAAAGAAAGAAAGAAAGAAAGCTGCAACCTTGAGCTCACAGGCTTTCATGGCTTCCAAATCCAAGCAACCACCTCATTTCCTTCTCATCCCACTCATGGCTCAAGGCCATCTAATCCCCATGGCCGATTTGGCCAAGCTTCTAGCTGAAAATGGAGGCAGAGTGAGCCTCATCACCACCCCTCAAAACGCATCGCGGATCAACTCCCTTCTCTCCCACCCAAACCAATCCCAAATCCAAATCCTTCACCTCCAATTCCCATCTCACCAACAATCCGGTTTTCCCCAAGGCTGCGAGAATTTGGACTCCTTGCCTTCACTCAGCTTACTCCCCAAATTCTTATCGGCAACGACTGTTTTCTGTCGGGCCACAGAGGATTTGTTCCAGCAGTTGTCTCCCAGACCGAGCTGTATCGTGTCGGACATGGCGTTGCCTTGGACAATTAAGGTTGCCCACAAGTTTAATGTTCCTAGGCTTGTTTTCTACAGCTTGTCTTCGTTGTATCTGTTGGGTATGGCGAATCTACGAGCCACAGGTGTTATTGACAAAATCATGTCTGCTTCTGACTCCGAGCGAATTGTTATTCCCAATTTGCCTGATAAAGTCGAGTTTACTAAGCCGCAATTTATCTGCACTTTGGATGCTGGGTTTATGGAGTGGGCCAATGAAATGGGCAAAGCTGACCAAGCTTCCTATGGTCTCATTGTCAATTCTTTCGATGAGTTGGAGCCGAAATACCTTGAGGAGCTCAAGAACGCAACAGGTACTCAGTTGCTTTTGTTAGACGAACACGACTCTCCACAATGGTATGATATTGTCTGCTTTGAGCCTAAGCTCTCATGGCTTTGTTTTGGGCTTTCCCAAAAGGCCTCATACCAATGGAGTTAGTATTCCTCACTTATAAACTCGGAGTTAGTATTCCTCACTTATAAACCCATGATCATTCCCTAAATTAGCCGATGTGGGACTTCCATCATCCAACAGCTTTCACCCAAAACCTTAATCATATGTCATCGAATTATTGAATTGTTTATCGATGTTCATTAACAATATAGGAACAGATAAAGTTTGGTGCGTTGGGCCCGTTTCATTATGCAACAAAGACACAACCGACAAGGCTATAAGAGGTAATAAGGCCGCCATTGACGAACACGAATGTCTCAAATGGCTTGACAGACAACAGCCTGGTTCAGTCGTCTACGCTGCACTCGGCAGCTTATGCAACTTAATAGCAGCACAAATCATAGAGTTGGGGCTGGCTCTAGAGGCATTGAACAGGCCATTCATTTGGGTCATAAGACAAACCGAAGCCACCAAAAACGAACTAGATAAGTGGCTGTCAGAATCCGGGTTTGAAGAGAGGACCAAAGAAAGAGGGCTGGTGGTCCGTGGCTGGGCTCCGCAAGTGCTGATATTATCACATCCGGCAGCCGGAGCCTTCATCACACACTGTGGCTGGAACTCGACCATCGAAGGGATCACGGCAGGAGTGCCAATGGTGGCCTGGCCGTTGTTCGCCGACCAGATATTCAACGAGAAGTTGATCGTTCAGCTGCTAAAGGTTGGGGTCAGCGTGGGGGCGGAGAAGAGTGTTATGTGGGGAAGTGAGGAGGAAATCGGTGTTGAAGTGAAAATGGAAGGCATTAGAGGGGCAATTGAGAAGGTGATGGATGGAGATGGAAACAAGGAGATGAGAAGAAGAGTGAGGGATTTAGCTGAAAGAGCGAAGGCGGCCATGGAAGAAGGAGGCTCTTCTCATCTCAATTTGAAGCTGTTGATTGAAGATATTATGCATGAGGCAGAGGCTCGGCAGGCCCAAAAGTAGTCATTTATTCATTGCTAAAATGCCAAGTCCACATTTGAATTATGGATGTTCTTACCATCTCATACAATCTTAATATTGCTTAGAACACAGTTTTATAATTCAAGTTTAATTTATATTCTCTCCCTCTAAACACTTTTAAGAGTTAAAATGACTAAATAGACACGAACCTCAAAAATTATATTTAAAAATTTGTTCTCAAAGGCCTTACTAAGTTGGTTGCCATCGAAGTCAATCTACTCTCGAACCCAATTCACAGTTCACCCTTAATCAAATGAAGCCAAGTTCTATATGAGATTTGAACGAAAGTTCCCCCTAGATTTACCCCGCTAATCAGAAAACTGAGAAGGATTTAACTATCTAAGTCATTTCATAGCAAAATTAACTATAGAAACATCATACTACCTTGTTAAGGCATTTGAATATTCACAAGTACGTATTGGGTTACTACCAAGCATGAATGGAAGGGTGTTTTACCCGCCGGCTAGGGGACTGGCCGTTGGTTTTGACTAAAGCCATCGCCTATAAAGATGGTTTGTAAGGCAAGGGGGAAGGTAGGGGCATGGTGGCTTTGAAGATGTTATATATAAATAAAATGGATATTTAGTAACTAGAGCTCAGCTACAGAATAGCCTAAATAAGAGGGAAAAACTTATAAGCTATACACACACAAACCCACTGAATGAAGGTTCAGGGGGGAACAAAGATGAGAGGCAGGGAAAAGATTAGAGGGAACCTCACACCTGCCATGGTCACAATGGAGTACCTTATGACCCGACATGATGGAAGTGTTTTCTGAAGCATGGATGCCCGCATGAATGTCACCTTGGTCACAATGGAGCACCCGCAACCCGACATGAGGGAACCATTTTCTGAAGCATGGATGTCCCTTTGAATGTCACCATCTGGCAGCAAGTTCTTCTATAGCAGCTAAGCTGTAGTGAGTCGATACAAAAAATTTATCAGGTGGTGGAAAATCGCACAATGTTAGGTGATGAATGTGTGCTATTGTTACATTGTTTGAAGTATATACCTGATCTGGTTTTATTCTCTCGAAACCGAATTTTTCAGTCCAAATGGATTCAGCCTCTTCAGCAGCCGGGAGAACAAGGCACTTGACATTTAAGAAAGCTAGCAGCCTCTCGATGCATGAAAATAATGTTTGGAAGTAGCCCTGCCATCATTGCACGTGGGAAAATATCAAAATCAGAATGGTCAAAATATAAAATACTATTGATTAGAAAGTCAAAGGTGTCAAAGACATTCCAAATAGACTCATAAACTCGGAATGTGCAAGGCGTAAAACAAAGTCAAAGGACGCAGAAAAAAGAAAAGGTATTTTCACTTGGCGATTCCAATAAAAAAAAGATAATAAAACAAAAATATAATTGTTTTATTTTATGGAAGAAGTAAGATTGGTTAGTCAGACCTTGCCATGGTTACCATTACTTGTCGCAACCAACGGCAGCTCTGCAATATCTTGGCCAAAAACACGAAGCATTGCAGCTGATACAACAAATGAGCTGTGCAATATAAAGAGAGAAATTTGTAATGATATTTTGTAAGAAGGTTAAAGGTCGCATTGATAAGATAGACTCTTACTTGACAATTAATATGGCACAATACATGCCACCAAACTCTTGTCCACCTACATCCCTTCTGTGAGATAGAGTGACAGATAACAACTTAGTATAAATACTACAATAAACACTGAATATAGCCAGTATTCAGGCTGTAAAAAATATATAAATGTACATATATATTGAAATAACGTGTCACTAACCCATAAACCATAGCTGGAATAAGATCGCGTCCACTTGTTATATCAACTATAGGATCAAAGCGATCCTGTAAAGTAATGATGACATGATTTAAATCAGATTAAACCCATGGATCATAGTTCAAATGCTGGAAACAAATTCAACGCATCATGTAATTTAGAGACTTCTTATAATATACATATATACGTACGTGTGTGTTAAGAAATAGATATAGATATAGATATAAGCTATACAAAATACAAGGATAGTCTAACATGGATTCGACAATACTTCTCAGGCTCTTCAGTGTTGCTTTTGTATTTGAAGATCATGGCATATCATTATGCATAAAAATAAAGTTGTCTGGAGTCATATATAACTTTTATTTCCGTTAATGAAATCATGTGAGACAGAGAGAAACAAGAATGGTATCTTAAATAGTATCGTAATTGAACACAGATTATTGCTCTAGGAATGAACTTAACTAAACATTCAAAATAAAAAGAAAATATAGGAAAACTTACGTGGAAGATGGCGATGGCCTCTGACAATAGCAACCGAGTTTCAGGTGAAGCAATTTTTCCACTGATAAGTCTCCAACTGACATCAACATCAACCTTATTGTCCGAACTATTTTTTCCAAGCTTTCTACTGACAGCCTCCAAAAGTGAATCTGGAAGCTTCTCTGGCCCACGAATTAGCAGCTTCTGTAGAGCGGAATGTATCCTCGTACAATCTGTGCTACAAAACCATTTTCCTTTTGGCAGTTCCTGTTTCATTAACGGTCGTTACATTTTCTTATCCCAGAAAGAAATTAGGACATTAGACAAGGAAAGAAATTGTTGTCATACAAAGGATTTCAAGTAAAAAGCAAGATTGTAATTTCAGTTAATACCTTAAGAAATGCCATTTTGTGGTCTTTTAAACAGCCCACGTGAAATTCCTTCTCGCACTGACCAGATATCAAACGAAGAATTTGAAGAAAAAGCATAACAGCAAAAAACATGGACAAGGAACTGGAAGGAGTCAATACAACAACACTTGAATGTTCAATTAGAAGTTAAGATGATATGACAAGATACCTGATCGCAAAGTATAATTGTGCGGGGACCAAAACCTGATTTGCTGAAATCAGACCCACTGCATGCAAAGATAAAAAAAGAATAACTACAAAGCAAAATCAACCTATAAGATAATATAACGAGAAGAAAAATGAGAAATCTTAGGAAAGGACATTTGAGAGAAGGAAAAATGCAATTAATACCGGCATAACACACATCCACTAAGATCTATTTCTATGTTCCTGACCATTCGAATGCATCTTTTAGTAATCTGCTCAATAGGGTCAACCCCATATACCCTTCCGGCTGCAACAGCATTGGCATTATGCTCAAAAAACTTCTCACTTTGGAACATATTCTGGCAAAATTTACAATACCAATCACCACGGGGAATACTTGATAATGATGCACATTCTGCACAAATGAATGGAACTGCAAATCAAAAACTCTACTCTGGAAACTGACCATTATTCAAAGAATTGAACGAGCTAAGGAGGCCAATTAACAACACATGAGCTTATAAGCTGTTCACTATTTAACACACACACACCCAAAAAAAAAAAAAAAAGCGTTTATACTGGAGAAGAGTTAATAGAAAAACACTGCACTTAAAATTGTCTAATCAAAGTGCTCTATATTATGATTCACCTTTGTGAAATGCCCTTGGGCAGCCATCACAAAGCAAAAGATTGCCACCATCTAAACATATTATGCATAAGTCATCATTATCCTTAGCAGAATATTTGCGCCCTTTTGAGAGAGAGATTGCTAATTCATGCAGAGAAACCCCATTCGATGTGTAAATGTATGCATAGCTGCCAAAAAAAACCCATCAGTCATTGGAAAACCTAGTAATGAATAGTTTGAGCTGCCATAAATCTAAAGGAAAATATGCTCACGGTTTCTTGCGAGAAGACCAACCCGCATGAACTTCAAATTGTGAAGGACTAACCTGCAAACATAACGTAAAAACAACATTTTCAGAAAACTACTCATGAATTTGGGAGCACAAGAAAGTAAAGGTTTTACCACACAATTGCAGCAGCAACATAAAATTCCAGACCCCTTCTTATAACCCTGGAGTAATTTCTGTGCGTAGATAGAAGGTATAAATCACTATACACATCAATAAACTTTAGTAATACTTGAATAGTTACACAGATAAGCATGCAGATTTCTCTTAACTACCTGTCCCCTGGCAAAATATGCTACTTCAGTACCATCAGGCAATCCGTCTTCCTCAAAAACCAACTTATGCAACCTCTGATCTCTTAAGAGAAAAAGTATTGAAAGGTAAAGTGAATAAAATATTTATCAAGCCTATGTCCATAATATGGAAACAGATGAAAATTTGTCACTGGGAATGAAAAATAAAAAAAAAATGATAAAAACAACTAACTTCGTTGTTATTTTCCACTGATTTTTAGCTAATGAAGAACTACACTTTGAAGCACTTTGGGAGGATTTTGACATTGAGGATGGTTTCAATGACCTGAAATTTAAAATAAAGAAGACATAAAAAAGATAAATATTTGACAGAAAAATTATGCTGCGGATTTTGGTGGATTAAAACAGACTAAAACAGACTAAGCCAGACCATGACAAACAAGATTCTCCACCGTGACTCATGAGAGAAGACTATCCAAACACAAACAGCCTCCATTTATTTATGTTCAAAACTTCCTAAGACGACCTAAATGTAGCTATCCGTAGCCTTTAAAAGTTGAAGCTAACGATTAAATCCAAAAATGTTTATTGACAAATTAATAAAAGTAACTATAACTGATAATTTAACTAAACCTATCTATTATCTATTATATTAAAATAACCATGTCAGACTATTCTTGACATGGTCCGGTCAATAATGAAGAGCAAAGGAATGTTGAAGGAGTTTTGGGCAAAAGCATAATTGTGTGTAGTTTATGTACAAAATTGATGTCCTCGTGTGAAATTAGGAGATCAGGCATCGCAAGAAGCATGGAGTGGACAAAAGTCTACGGTGTCTCATTTAATGGTGTTCGGAAGTGTAAACTACGCGCATGTACTAGATCAAAGGAGAACTAAGTTAGATGACAAAAGTAAGAGGTACATCTTTATCAGCTATGATGAGAATACCAAAGACCAAGTTTTTTGATCCAATAGAGAAGAAAGTGGTGGTCAACCGAGATGTGCAGGTGAATGAGTCTAGTTCATGGGATTGGAAAAGATCCACCGAGGTGGTAATCGAGGAAAAAGAATCATCTGCACCAACTAATACTCCATCAATGGTTGATAATAAGGATGAGCCTAGACATGCAAGGATGCGCACCATGCAAGACTTGTACGACTCGAAAAGTGAGGTACATTTAATTTGTCTTTTGGTGGATGCTGAAATAATCACTTTTAAAGAAGCTATACGAGATGAGAAGTGGCAAGCAGTCCACGATCGAAATCAAACGTGGGAGCTGGTCAAATTGCCAAAAGGATGTTAGTCCATTGGAATAAAGTGGGTGTACAAGAAGAAGATGAATGCTCAAGGTAGACTAGATCGGTACAAGGCAAGCCTCGTTGCAAAGGTCTATCGACAAAAGTCAAGGATAGACTATGGTGAAGACGAGAAGTCGACTAGGCATGAAGGATGGAAGAGAATGAAGTTGAAGGAGGGGAGTTAATGAATAAACTTAATTCATCATTAATTATATGGGTGCACATGGACAGACCTATGTAGAGATTTAAAATAAAATTAAAAAACAAAGAACTTAAGAACATAATACTATCTCTTCCTCTAAAAAGACAGATTTGAGTGTTGAGAATTATGGCCCCTTTACATAAAAATTTTACGCTGCTCCAACAGTTTTATACCATTGGGATGAAGATGATGGAAACTACCTAAAAGGTTTGAAACGTTAGATCTAACAAAAAAGAAAAGTTATGATGGTCACTCCACCTCGACTCATTCAACTCCAATTGCTCTACATGACCATCATACCTCCCTAGAAGGAATCAATGCCTCTCAGATCAAACTGATGCAGTAGGTTTGTGTGTTACAATGGATTAAGCCAAACCCATGGGAAACAGGAGAAATTTCCAAAACGAGAGAAGGCTATCTAACAACACTTAATTCATTCACGTTCAGACCTTCTAAAGACAACCTAAATGCGGCTGTTTTAAGCTTACAAGAAAATTAAAATATAAAAGAACCATAAAATGCTAATTCAACAAAGTAATAGAAGAATTAAACTGAACCAATATACTAGATAAAAATAAGCAACTAGTTTGATTATGTATTATTACGTCCTACAACGAAATATGAAACCTCAATAACATTAATTTTCCATTTTACAAACAAGTGCAAGCTACAGTAAAAATTAAAGATATTTTTTAAAAAAAATCAAGTAAAATATCAAAGTGGGTAAAAACAATAATCTGGAGACAAACTGCACTAACTTTTTTCTCATCTTCAATGCACTCTTGTACTTTGAAGGGACACGCAAGGGTGCGCTTTTGGAAGACCTTGAGATGGAAATGTATTCGGACAATTTTGACCTGAAAGTTATACAAGTGATTGAACTTGAAAAGCTATTAAAGTTGAGCACCTTAGAAAAAGAAATAGGATACTGCTATCTTAATGGAAAGGCATTAAATTTTACTTCAATCACCAAACATGCCAAGGAGAAACAGAAAGGAAGTGGAATTATAAAAAATAAAAAAATAAAAAAGTTTAGCCAGTAGTGATGGTAAAATAGCATGAGACAAAATGATACTAACTTTGCTTTTATCTCCCATTTACGTTTATATCGTGAAGGGATATGTACTGGAGCACTTCCAGGTGATTTTGATGTGGTTGGCTCTGTTGACCTGAAAAACAAAACTAATTTTAAAGAAATAACATCTTAAAGATACTGAAGAAAAAAAAATTCTGCCCTTTTTGTGCATTCATGATTTAAATTGTAATAAATTAACAGAGTTCACATTTTTTCAGTTAATGGCGCCGAAAGTTACACTGTTGAAGAAATTACATCAGTCTTGCATGCATTACTAATCCCATCTTTAGTTATAAGCGCGACATCACCCATTTTTTACTTATAAATTTTACCGTCTGATTAGAGTTCTGCACGACTTGAACTTGCAAAGAAGACACTTCGGGAAACAGTTCATGCACTTAGCCGTCATGGAGAGTTATTACACAAAGATATAACTGGATACGATACCATAAGTAGACGACATGCCAGGGAAGAATACAAAATTCTAACTTATATTTCCAGAACCCATAACATGCAACGAAGCAATTGGGTTCGGGCAATAGGAAAAGGGTCGAAATAAAATGATGAATCGGCACCCATGATAATACAATCATAACTAAACGTGCATAGAAAAGGGAAAAATCGTATTCCAGAGAACAGGGAGACAACTGAAGTTGAAATCAGTATATACCGTACCTCAGTTTCTTATTAATTGGGGAAGTGGGGGGAGTTGCCAATGATGGCGTACACTGAGATCGCTTTGATTCCTCGCATGAAGAGCATAAAGGTCCCACTTGTCCAATGGATGAAGGAAAGCATCCTAGACATCGTAAAACACAGTAATTATCAAACAGATTATAATTCTTATAAACTACTGGGTTTTGGTTGTGCCTTATTATGACGCCTGCTAGTGGCGACAAACATTAAAAAACCAGAATTTCACCTTTACAATCTCTACACGTAAAATATTTTTCTTCTGGAGAAGAGCTAATCAGATTTTGAATAGTGACCTCAAGTGTCTGCCTACTTCCCTTGCATGCTCTCAACAGGTCGAGAAGGCTCTTCCCGTTCTCAAGACATATGTACTGAGCTGCTCGTTTATATTGTTTACAAGCGTGAATCTCAAATTGCGAAGGAGGAATGACCTAGATTGAAGAAGAAGAAGAAAAATTAAAGAAAACAATAGCAAAAATCATTTGAAGATTTCCCATGTTAAATCCAAAGAGATTACATACCCTGCATCCATTGCAGGACGAGCATGTGCACAAAATCCCACCATCTTTAATTGTACCACGCAGACCATAATCATGTGCCTGAGATCAAAATGCAGCACGAAGATCAACCCAGTTCCCAAATATGTATCACATACAAAATTCTAAATGATTAAACATACTGTGAAGTAGAAATTTAGAATTCGAGAGTTTAAATGAGCAAAAGGCAATAACCAACCTTCTTTACACCCATGTAGATGACACGGACACCCTCGAGCAAACCAGTATCAAAGAGCTCCCTCACAGTCATTGGCCGCTTATTCAATGCAATCTTTTTCGACATCTTTAATTCCAACTTATTCTTCGGAGTTGACAGAGAGTTGACTGTTTCAATTGTTTCCCCGACCACGCCTGAAATAACTTCGTCTTTAACAGAGCTTATTGTAATTGAGGGGCCTTCCTCGGGCTCAACCTTCGGCTTTAATGACGAGCGCGTAAACCGCTTAACTCCCCACCCAGGCAATTTCTCTTCAACTTCTCTCGCCTCTGCCATAACCAAAGGACTCCCCTCGGCCCCTTCTTCCTTATCTGCAGATTTCTCCACCGCCCCATGAGACTCTTTCTCACAAACAGAACTCACAGGATTGCAATTTGATTTATCTAAGCCTATAGTCTTAATTTGAACCTCCTCAGTCCTACTACCCTTCCCAATTTCCAAGCTTCCAGGAATTTCAATCTTCACCGCACTATTACAATTGTTTCTAATTTGATTATCCAGCCCGCTGTACACATTGATCTGAGACCTCCTTACCCTCGTATACACAATCAAACCATTCACAACACAGCCTTTAAATCTCTTACAGCCACCACTTCTAGCAGCTTCATCTAAATAACTACTCGACCTCGCCTCAACTAGAGTCTCACTACGAGTATGCCCAAGAGTCTCCTCAAGCTGAGACTGAACCTCCAAAGCAAAAGCTAACTCCCGCTTCATACCTAATGATAATCAGTCCTCAAACTAGAAATCGACAAAAATTACGAACCTCTAACTTCTAGAATTCGAAAAGCAACCTCCTGAACAGCGAATGTAGCAGCGGATCGCAAGTACCGGCAAGAGCAGACATGGAGAAAGAGAGAGAGATCGGAAGAAACTGAAGTTAGGGTTTTGATGAGGTGTGGTTAATGGAAAGTGAAGGAGGGAATAGAGAAGGAGTATGAAGAAGCATCTATGGAAATTGAAGACGAACCAACGCAGTGTGAGAGTGAAACAATGGAGAAGGAAGGATAAAGATGGAGGCCTGCACAGAGACGGGCAGAAAGGGCAGATGGGGCAGAATTTGTAATTACGCAATTTTATGTTATACGGACTCCAAGGGGAAAATAATGGACCAATACGTCGTCGTCACAGCCCTGGGCCGGCCCACTCTCTCCATTTCCTAAGACGAACCTTTATTACTCCAATGTGAACCCGGTTCATGATACTTCTGAGCCGAACCAAGTAAAACATGAACGACTTTCTTGGAACCCCGATCGACCATGATCGTATGTTAATGAAAGAAATTATTGGTTTCACTTTCACGATATAGAGTTGAACCAGATCGATCGTAATCGTGAGAAACATCTAGAGCTTACTGGCTCACATGTTCCAAACTACTCTCTATCATCTATTCCTCGGTTGTGATTATCTAATTGAGTCAACTCGATTCTAACTACAGAAGCATCTAGAGCTGACTGGCCCACGTGTCTCAAACTGCTCTCTATCATCTATTCCTCGGTTGAGATTATCTAGTTGAGTCAACTCGACTCGGACTACAGAAGCATCGGGAATTTGTCTTTTTTTTTTCTTCATAAAATAGTGCTTATGCAGGAATGATTTTATTACTAATTTTAGTTATACTTAAATATATAAATCAATTTTGTACTTTTGGAGTAGAAATTATGATGTGTCTTAATTGATTTGGCTGGCAGTGTATAAATCATATGTGGGTTACAAACTATTTTATTTCAATCTCGACATTTTTTTTTAATTTTAAAAATTTGTTAGTATATTATTTGTGTGTTAAGAGTGAAATATTTAGTAACATTTTTCTTTTTTTGAAACTTTCAAATAAAAATTAAATTTAAATTTCAAAAACCAAAAATGTAAAATTTAAAATCCCAGGAACTAATACAAACTAAATTCAAATTTAAAACAAAAAAGCAAAAAGAGTATTTTTTTTTTTATAAAAAAAAAAAAAAAAAAAAAAAAAAAAAAAAAAAACTGAAACCAAGGAGCTTCTGCAAAATGAACCAAGAAGCTTATAATCAAACTATTCATCTCAAAATTCCAACAACCCAAAGAGAAAGAGAGATTTCAAATCACTCACTGAGACATGAGAGAAAAGTACAATGCATTCTTAAAACTCAGGGGGGCTGAGGGCATGCCATAGCCATACCCATAGCCATACCCATAGCCATATATAAGCAACCACCAAGTGATGCATTATCAGAAAGCAAAGCAAAGCAAGAGTAAAACAATAGTGCATAATCCGAGTCACTGAATCGAAAAGTTCAGAACTTCCTCGATGCCCACATCAGGAGAAGCGAAGAACAGTGAGATATTTCTGGGAATTTGGAGAATGCCAAAGGATGGGAGTTGCCCTTTACAGAGGAAGTCATAAACATCTCCTCTGGCCCCACTGAAGAAGACACACAAACTTTCAAGAAACCTTTATATCATCTCCTCTTTCACTACCACGACTCAACTAGTTGAGCATGGGGGAAAAACAATACAGTAAACTTCACACAATCTCCACCTGAAATGGAAGCTCCACCGCCGCTGGCCACCGCTAGGGTGGCCGCAGAGAGGGGCATGAGAGAAATTGGTGGTGGGGTTGGGTGCAGTTGTAAAGAGGGTTTGATAAAGAAGCTGCACTCGTTGTTATAGAAGCTTTGCAGGGCAGGGAAGAAAGGGAATCAAGAGACTGACGTGACACCAAGAGCGGTGTGCGGCCACTTTCTTTTGTTAAAAAGGAAACGTGAGCAGAAAGCAGGACATGAAGAAGAAAAAAACAGTGATAAATGGAGGCAGCACGAACAAATTCAGCATCTTCCAGGGGATATACTCTTACCACATTCTTAATCTGTTCCAAGTGTGACCACACCACCTTCTTTTGCTCCTTTTCGGGATTGCATTTTCCTCTCAACGCCTTCATTAGGCTTTTGCTCCTCCTACCAACTGAGGTGTTCCTACAAACCTGCCAAATTTCACATTATTTTCAGCAAAATGATCAAGTATGCACCATATACATTAAATCAACTGAATCATTTCAGTGGCTTGTGTCACTTCAAGAGTGTACTGTTCATGGCTCTTCTAAAGATCTAAGTGGATAAGGGGAGTAGAATGAAACATTCTTTATAAAGGCGTAAAAATCTCTCCCTAGCAGATACGTTTTAAAACCATAAGGGGAAACCTGGAAGGAAAAGCCTAAAAAAAACAAAAACGGTGAGCAGTGGGTGAGCAGTGGGCTTAGACTGTTAGAGTAACATAGTAGTTTGTCCTGAAAGTTCATTTTCAGTTTCTATGGCGTAATGCCTGGCACTTGGAGAAGGCTGCGGTCATCACTGGTTAGAGTTGCTGAGGTTAGCAAGACAAATGGATACCTGAGGAAGCAACAGAAGAATATATTACTCGATTCCAAGTGAAGTATGCAAATCTGTTTTACATCTTATTTCTCTCTCCAAATTCCAACATGAATCACGCCATCACCACTATGCAGACTATTATATGAGGGGAAAATCTAGAAAAGGCAACGACTCAGGAGAGTTGAGTAGTCATGTATGGCTCTTCGAAAAAGATAGGGGCATGGTAGTCAAAAATACAATTAGAATTTGGTATGTTTCAAATTATTGCCTTACTTTATACAAAATAACTTGTTTGAAACAATCGGAGCAGAGCTGTCTGATTTCTTCAACTTCAGGTTGGTCATCATCACACTCTCCGTCTCTCCCTTCTCAAACAACCATGCACTCTTCCATGTTAGTAATCTCTTGCTGTTAGCCTAAGACTAAGACCAGTGTTCCAGCAGGATTCAATCGCGAGTCTTGATTGAAATCATGATTTGAGAACTGAAAATGGCTTCAGAGAAGCCTCCGAGTCTGGTGTGCATTTACAAAGTAAAGAGAAAACATGCACTTTTTGGACTTTCATGAGAACCATCTCCTTCCCCCACTCTTGGTTGCTTTCAGCTTCATAACAAGTTCCTCACGCTGTTGCTCGACTTCAGCGTACTTCAGGCTGATGTGGAAGTACCGCTCACGAATGTCTCTTAACTCTGCCTCGAGAACTGAGTTTATGCTTTCGTATCCTTCCTTTGCCACTGCATCACCTTCAACTGATGATATGGGAGAATTTTCTTTGTTTTTTTGATTGTCTGAAACAAGCCTGAAAATAGTGCGAAGAGATATGGGAAAATTCAGATTGAGGGAGACATATAAAGCTATGAAAATTAAGGTCCTTGTACAATGAATAACGTGTACGGCATTTGAAAGTGAACGGAGGCAAATTTGTTTTCCAGGCTTATGTGAAACTTCAGTCGAAAGTACTATAGGATAGCCATAAATTTCTTATACAGTTTTGGCTCATCATATGCTAGACCTGATGATCAGCCAATCATGAATAATTTAGTAGATTCCACTCGCTTAAGTAAAACAGTTTTTGTTGTTATGTAACAAATATGAACCTACCTGCTCAGCTGATCTTCATATTTCTTGTTTGCTTCCAAAGCCTCAGCAAGTTCCTTTTCGAGCAACTGAATTCTTGAAACAGATTCAGCTTCAGGAATATCATATTCACTATCATCCTATAGGGACAAGAAATTAACAAGTTACAAAGGCATCCTTGTCAACTATATCGGGACAGATTAAAAAGCCAGCATTTTCTACCTTAACTTGAGAATGAGATTGATTGCTGTTAAGGTCCTTACGATCTTTCACTTGTTCATGTGATTGGCTGGTCTTTGAAGCAGGCTTCTTCTTGCCACTATGATTCTGACCAACAGTCTTTACCGCATCATTCTGTTATATTCAAACAATTAGCACTCAGAATTCTTTTAAGCAGTTTGGAAGTCAAAATCAACATCTAAATGAATAGTAAAAGAGACTGACTATTAGAAGCTTCGTGTTTTTGCCGTTGGTTTTGGAAAGACCATGAACCTTTACACTGCTAGACTCCCGCTGGATCCGTTTTTCCTCCTTTAATTGTCTCAGTTCTGCTTCAAGGGATTGGCATCTTTTTAGGCACTCATCTTTCTCATCCAGTATTTTCGGTTTCTGTTGGTACTTACTGTTTACTCTCTTAATCTGGTAGAGCTCATTGCTTAAATCGTCATTCCCAGTAAATGATGCCTCTTTCACTACTGATTCACTCCCTATTCTCATAACATTTTCTTTTAAGGCAACTTCGCTCTGTTTGCTCTCCTCTAATTCATCGATAATCTTTTGTTCGAGCTTGTTCCTCGATTCAGAAACCTCATCCTGAAAATGTGCCATTTTTACCTTTAAGTTAGTTAGTTCTTCCTCATGCTGCTTTCGTTCTTTTTCAGACACAGAAAGCTTTAATTCAAGATCATTGACAGAGTTCTTTAGTTTGACTTCGAGTGATTTGTAATTTTCCAACTGCTTCAGTAACTTTTCATGGTCGGCTATCAGTGTTCCTTGGCTTTGTTTTGACACGGAAAGCTCATTGATCAAAGCTGTTAACTTTTCATCAGATTCCATTTGCATGATGTTGAGATCATTCTTCATAGATGAAAGTTGCTTGGTCAGGTGCACGACTGCCCCTTGAAGTTCTTGAGCTTCAGTTGCCTTCTCTAAATATGTCTCATTGTACAAGCTTTCAAACGTGGCAAATTTCTCTTTGTATTTTATGTTGTCTTCAACGATTGAACTTAGTTCCGAAGATAGTAATCTTTCTTTTGAGGCGAAATCCTCCAATCCAAGAGAGAGATACTGCTCCAAATCATCAACTTTTTTGGAATAATGAGCAGACCTTTCAAGTGACTCCTTCAATTTCGATTCCAAACGTAAATAACGCTCATGTAACTCAAAATTCTTTTTCTTCAGCTCTCCATTTGATTTCTGAAGCAAATCTTTTTCTCTTTGCAGGTACTCACATTGATCTTGAGCCTCTGCACACTGGTTTTGCACATCATTCAACATTTGTTTCAAATCAACACTTCCCTTCTCTATCTCGAGTCTCAGTCTATCAACTTCATCTTGGAGACCCACAGCAAGAGACTTAGAGTTCTCTAA